CCCCCCGCCCCCCGCCACCCACCACCCAGCAGCTACACAGCCAGACACAGAGTACAGAGGAAAGAAAAGGTACACAGAAATAGGGAAAGATAAAAGCCCCGAGGCCAAAGATAGATGGGATAATTTAAGTTAAGAAAAGCTGGCCAGAAACAGGCCAAGCTAAGGCCAGGCATTCGTAACTCAGAAAAAGGCTCTGTGTGTGATTTATTTGGGAGCTGGGTGGTGGGTCCCCCCAAAAAGTCAAAAGACTAAACAGCCCAAAGAGTAAAACATCACACAACAGTGTCTGGGCGAGCCCAGCCTGTCCCGGGAGCACACTGACCACCGGCTCAGCATTCTCATCCTCCCGAAGCCGCAGCCGATGCAATACTGGGCTGGAGAGCCGTGCCAGTCCATTGGAGAGCCGCTGCCCGATGGCACCGGCATCGATGTCTTCCACACTGCTGGCATTCACAATTACGTCAACACCCTTCCATAAAAAAGCAGCATTTAGGTGGCATCCAAACTCTCATCACCACCCCCAGCATACAGACCTGGCCCTGCCCCCTTGGTACCCAGTCCCCACACACCTGGAAGAATTCAGCCACCTTAGCCACATGGCTGGCGCAAGCACACTTCCGGGCATCAGGCACATCTTCACCAACCTGCAATGCACCCAGGGAAGAGGGTTCAGCAAGGGACAGGAAGAAGACCTCAGCCTGCAGGCCCAATCGCCTGCAGGCCCAATCGCCCACAGGCCCAGGCTATCTTCCCAGGAACTAGTGGGATTCTCCCCAGCAGTGGCCAGGGGTGGAATGTGACCGCTCTGGGCCTTCCGCTCCCAGCGCCATCCCACAGCTGCATACCCAGTTGATGAGCACATATTTTGGCAGGGCCGCCTGGGAGTCCTTGACGCTGCAGAAGCCATACATCACTTTCTGGTTCTCGAAGTGGCCAGAAAGCTCCTGCAAACCCCCTTCTGGGGAAACCAGGAAGGTGTCAGGGCTCTCCGTGTCCTACACCCTTGACCCTGCAAAGGGCCTAAAACCCCCAGGGTATTTCTATTCTGTGAGCTAAAGGCCCAGGTCTCTGTGTAATGAGGTGAAGGGGTGGACAGGATTCTGGCTTTGCCTCTGAACCCTCCTGGGCCTGACTTGAGATGAGACTGAAAGGCTGGCTGTTCACACATCTGCATTTCTCAGTGATCACACCTCCCATGTCTTACCAGGTACTAGCGCCCAGCAAGGTAAATGAGCTTTCCTTAAGGAACTCTTCTAGCTCTGGAGAAAGCAGCACTGAGCTGGGCCACCCTACCAGGCCCCTTCCCTAGCAGTGTGATACTGGGCAAGTTGCTTTTTCTCACTGTGCCTTCCCAGAAGTCAAACAGGAAACTGCTCCCTCCCTCTACACTCTGAGGAATGCAGGGGACGACAAGAGGAAGGGCACCATCAGACAAGTGTGGGTCTGCTGCATGGAGGCAGGAAGGTGGACTGCAGCCAGGGAGGGGAACAAACCACCCGAGTAGGTGGTAGGAAGGAAAAGGGATGGCTGGAATTCTTACCTCCTGATGCTGCAAGCTTGAGGTCATCGGAGCCATCCTCGTATGTGTACAGAGCCCTGGGGAGAGGGAGGGGTGGCTCACAGAACTGTCAGGTCCTAGGCAGCCAATTTTGGGTGGAGAAGGCATGAGGGAGGAAGAGTGATGGGAAGGGGGGCAGGGCAGAGCAGGACAAGAAGGGGGAAAGCTTTGGTTGTCAGCTGGTTGTGACAACAAGGCCAGGCATCATTTCCGCTGAGCCGGAGACCTGGGTCAAATGGCAGTCAGGGAGTAGTGGGGGAGAAATCTCTGCCTAGTCAGCTCAGCGTCCGGCCTTAGCCCTGGCAGCCCACAACCCAGTGGAGCGGGTGTGCGATGGAGATTCCAAGGCAACGGTTCCTTGGTTACCGTTCCCTGGCGACCATGATTCTCATCCCTCATTGGCCAGAGCCAGGAATCTACCTGGTGCATGCCTTGGTACCCGCTGCCCCTCCCCCTGTTTGGAGGGAGGAGGAGAAGAATCTGGTGCTCAATGCTGGGCATCCCTTGGTAACCATGGCAACCCAGCAATTGGCACAGAAACCAGCCCACCAGAGCTGTATTCTCCTCGAACACAAAGGACCCCAGGGACATCCTCAGACTCAATCTCTCCCTTTCTGAGATGGGGATGAGGTCACTGATCACTCCCAGATTCTAACCCTAAGATCTCCTGGTCTTCTCACTCCTAGGCTGCCTCTGCCCTAGCTGAAGCCTCCTAGGACTGCCATGTAGACTGAGGCTGGCCAGAAAGCTAAACTAATGGCTTCCTTCCCTCCTAGCCTTTTCTGCTCTGTATTCATTCTCGGCAGGCGTCCTATAGCGTCCATTTCATGGGAGGTAATGTAGAGATTCTCCCCACCCGCAGAACCCATCCTGACACAGGCACAGGCCGGGGACACATGGAGAAGAGGAGCTTGGCTCCTGAGATTGAGAAGGTCTCAGACCCTGTCTTAACTCCCATTTCCCATCTGCTAAGTCAGGAGGCTGGGGTGTGTGAGAAGGGGGAAAGGGGAGACGGAGGAAGGGGAGGAGCAGAGAGGAGGACGAAGAGAAGAGGAGGGAGAGAACAGATGAGAGACGGGGGGAAGTGGAGACACAAGAAAATGAAAATGGAGGACGGGTGTGGTGGGGGGGGGGGTGAGGGGGGGGGGGGGGGGGGGGGGGGGGACAAAAAGGAAGAGCGAGGTCTAACCCACCCCCCAGAGGTTGTCAGCCCTAGTCGCTAAGACACCAAGTGGGCCCCCTGCAGCCCCTCCCTTTCCTGGACCCCTCCCTGCTTTTCTCCACAAAGAGACACAGGTGGGCTTGGAGCCCCGGGGGGCCCTGCTGCCCCAGCCGCTGCCCCGACAGCTGCCTCCCAGCACAGCTGTCCCACCACCTGTCAGGCTGCCCTAACCCATGGCCAGGAACAAAGAGCCCTCAAAGAGACAGCGTGTCTCCCTCTCTATTCACAGAGGCAGCACCAGGAACCCTGGTTTCTTCCCAGACATGCTCTCCCACCCACCCACCCACCTCCAAGCAGCCCCGCTTGCCAGCTAGGGCCACAGCCCTCCTTCCAACATTCAGTCCCAGCCTTCCGTCACTCAGCTCTGCTCAGCCCACTTTTCAAAAATGACCGTGGTGTTCCTCCTCACACTGAGGCCACACTGGCTCCCGAGTTCAGTTCTGAAGACTACGTCCTGCCCTAACCTGCCTTGTGCTTTATCTGTACACGAAGACCACTGAGGGTGACACTGCCAGCTCCGTGGGCAGCCTCAGCCTGAGTTTCACGCCCCATGACGCTAACACAGACATCTGTTCTAGCCCCAGACCCTGCTGGACAACGTCTCTCTACCATACCACAAGCACCTGGTGACCGGCTGGTGGGAACTGGGAGGCAAGCAAAAAAGTAAACGTGGATGAGGGGACTGTAGATGTGCTCCCCTCGGTAGCATTAAACCCTGGAGACAGTGACTGCCACAGACTGTCATGTCAGTTCTGTGAAGGCAAAACTCTGACTCTGCTAATACCAACTGCTGTCTCCGTCCTGGGTCCAGCTCAAAGTAGCACCACTGTAGGGATTTGTAATGTTGGCACAAACTCTTATCAACCATCTAAGCCACAGGCACGAGACTAGGGCAAGGTGAGAGTGGGACTTCAGCAGCTCCAGGCCTGCTAGGAGTGGAAGGCTGAGGACCAGCATACTGTCAGGGAGCTAGAGCTGGAAAGGCCCTGGAAACCCTGCAGGGGCTGTGCCCAGCCCCCTCTTCTCTCAGAAGCTTCAGAAGAGCAGGAACTTCTCACACAATGAATCATATCGTAACCAGGGTGCTGCTGGCCTTTCCAAATGCACAATCTGACTTCCCCAGTGTTCTGCTTCCAGCGCAAGGCAGTGGTCCTCTGAAGAGACCCTGCCACCTAGGGCTCAGCTTCCCTAAGCTCCACCACACCCACATTCAAAGACAGACACCAAATACTCATGCCCCAACATTTGGACCCAGGACCTCCTCCTGCAGGGCCTGCACTGAACCTTGGGACCTCACTCAGTTCCTGGCTGTGTGATAAGAGCTGGGAAGGATCATGCCATCTTCTGTAAAATGTGATCTTCACACCCTGTTCACAACATGCTGTTAGGCCCTTGGGAGGAAGCAAACATATATGCATTCCAGGGGTGTATATGTGCAGCTGTGTGTGTGTGTCCCACACACCACCCAGATGGGGCTGACGCATGCCAAGGATGCATAACTAACTCCCTTTGGCCACATGGATGTTGCTGGTGGTGAAAGCCCCGGCCTCTGCTGAGCAGGATGCGGGGCAGCAGGAGTTGGATAGGCCCAGCATTGTACTGCCAGTGTCTGCTTCTGAGGGGTTAAGAGATTTGGGGTGCTGCCTACACCCCCCCTAGACTGGGGAGGAAGGCAGGGTTCCAGTCAGTGTTTCTCCTCAGGCAGGGCCATATCCCCAAACCAGCTCTTCCACCAGTCCAAGCAGGCCACTTGCCCAGATTGCCTCCCATGATCTCAGCCCCCCAGGGACAGGGCTGGGACAACAATGTGGGGATTGCCTGCTTGGCCTGTTCAGCCTCTCCTATAACTGACCTGCAAGACACAAGAACTTGTCTCCTGAGTCCATCCCTCTGGGCCTGGCTGCCCGCCAGTGCTGCAGTACCATGGCATGGAGGCCTGGCTATTTTGTTCCCTCCTCCAGGCCCCCTACCTGGCTGCCCTCCCAGAGTGTGGCCAGCCCAACTGGGGTCCTCAGACCAGCCCCAACTCAAGAGGAGCCTACTTTCTGTCTGATGAGGTGAAGAGACCTAAATGCAAAATGGAGATTTGCTCCCTAAGAAGAACACTTGGGGGCTGTGTTCAGAATGGGGCATCAAACCCCTTGGTTTGCCTGACACCCTGGGGCTTCAGCCGCTGAGCAGGTGGTTTAAACCCTCCTCCACCTCAGGGAGGATAACAGCTGGGGAGGGGGAGAGACGCAGGTCCACTCATACCACCCTAATAAGAGGCTGACAGCCCCTGGTAGAGTGAAGAGGCTAGGGTCCCAGAGATCTACTCATCGTGGTATCCCTCAGCGGGGGCTCCCACCATGCTTCCTCCTAGCTGGCCTTCTAGACAAGCTGCCTGGGTCCATGTCCTGGGTCTCTTCCTGCCTAGCTGCCTAGTCCCTAACGATCTCCTCCTTCAGAAGGGGAGAGAAGGGCTCAGCCCTACCTCTCTTCCTCTGCGATCCGGGAGGGATAAAGGAGTCACTTCGTGGTTGCCATGTGGCCGTGCGCCCCTTTCTATCACACCCTAACCTAGATGTGGGGGGAGACAACCCTGAGAAGCCCCTGGTGGGCGGGGCACGCTGGCCCCCGGCCCTCTGCGCTCCTCCCCCGCCCTAGCTTTCCTTTGTGCTGTGGCCGGCCAGGCTGCTCCAGCTCCGCTAGCTCGGTCCCCGCCCCGTCCCCACCCGGTCCTCGCCCGCTCGAAGGTGGCGAAGGTGCCCTTGGCTGGCCCGTGCACACCTGTCCCCCGGGCCCGTGGAGGGAGGCTGGGGGGGAGGGGATGGGCTCCGGCGGGGGGGTGGGAC